GGGTCTGCGGGGCCTGTCGAGGAGCCAGCGCAGCTCAGTCCCTAGCCTGTCCCTTCCTCCTGTGTGTCTCACAAGCACAGTACACTCCTGTCCGCCCCACAGGGCTCTCGGTTTTCCGACTGCGTCCTTGCCAGGGCTGAGGGCGGCCGGACGCTCTTGTCTGTGCAGACGTGACGTTCTTAGGCTCAAGACCCACCCAGACACAGTAGACGACGTCTGTGAGTTGTCCCTTGCATCGACATCCTCTCCTCCTCTTTTCACTTGTCACTGAGTATCTACTTTGTGCTCTTGGGATAAGCAGGTGATTTCCTGTCCTACAGGAATGTCACTGTGTAGACAGGAGACCTGCCATGGGTTAGGCTCCTACTTCTGTGAGAGAAGTGGGCAAGTGTGGAAGGTCACTTGTGTGGGGAGTGGGGCCCAGGCTGCGGAGGACTGGGAAGCCTTCTCTGAGCAGTGACCCCTGCATCTTGAGGGCAGGTGTGCCACAACACCCCAGGAAGGGCTACGGGACGTTCTGTCTCCAGCATGGCTGAGCAAGTTTCTATTGGAAACTTCTCAAAGACCCCACATAGAAATGCTGGATGAGGTTGGAGAGGTAGATCAAGAGGACCCTGTCGGCTGAAGCTGAGCAAGAGGATTCTGGGGGAGAGTTGGTCCTGAGGTGGGAATAGCATGAGTTGGAGGTGCCCTGGTCCCCAGGTTTTCACCTGCGTGAAGGACGAGGTTGGTGCCACCCAGCGCAGACAAAACACCAACAGACCGCCAGTCCTGTTTCTGGCGTACAGAACCAGGGGGACGAGGTCTGAGTAAATGAGGGGGTGGGGGGGCGAGGCAAGGTTTGAAATGGAGACAGCCGGACAGCAGGGGCTCCAAACTGGTGCAGAAGTTCTCCCTAAGTCCCTGATTGACCCTGAACCATCTGTGAGCCAGGCAGATTGCAAGCAGCCCACCCAAGGGTCAAAGAAGTGGGCTGAAGTCCAAACTATATCCTGAAAGTCTGAAAAGACAGCCTTCTCAGATCCAGGCCAACCAAGTCTGTGGCTTCCTCAAATAAAGAAAGGAATAGCAACCAACTTGTCCACAGATAACGTGAGCGGAATCCAGGGTCATGACATGTAACGTTCACAGTGTCCAGGATGCCATCCCGAAGTGCTCAACATGTGGAGAAACAGAAAAGAAATCCTTTCCCAAGAGAAAAGACTGCGATGACCAGTGTTAGAGTCGACTCTAAAAATCTTTAACTGCTATAAAAATGCTCAGTGAACAAAGAACAATATATTCAGAATTATTGAAAATGTAGGACCTCTCAGTAGAGAAATAAAAATTATAAGAAGAAACTAATGGAAAATCCAGAACTAATAAAAAACCTTACCCAATGTCTTAACCATGGATGAAAAAAGGAAGAATCAATTCTACAAACTGAAGAAGAGAGAGAAAAAAAATCAACAGATAAATAAATAAACAAGCATAGTGCCACCAGGTCATGGGAAATAATATGAAAAGGTCTAACGCTGGTGCATTGAAAACCCAGGGGGGGAGCAAGAGGGAGACTGGGAAGACTTCTGTGAAGAAATCATGACCACAACTTCTGAATGTTGGCGAAAGGCCTACATTTATAGATTTAGGAAACTCAGACTAAGATAAATCCACAGAAAATCACAGAAAAACTTCTGAAAACAAGAATTGAAGAAGGAAATCTTAAAGGAAGTATGAGAAAAGTGATGCCTTACGACCAAGAGGCCATGCCCCCTCATCAGAGACCACGGAGACCAAGAAACACCGGGCCCATGGACTGAAGGGCGGAGCCAAGCCGGGGCTGCCGAAGCCGCAGACTCAGAATTCGCCGTCAGCCAGTGTCCTTTTAACAATGAAGGTGATGTTCCCAGATGAAGAAAAACAGAGCAAGAACAAAAAGGTAATGCATTGTGACCCATCTTGCCTCCCAGCAGTACTACAGGACGTTCCTGGACCCAAGAAATTTGATGCCAGGGGGACCCAGATGTTCGTGAAAGGAAGAGGAACATTAGAAATGGTAAATATCTGGTTGAATATAAAGGACTGCTTTTTCTGAATTAAAAAAAATGCATAGAAATGTCCATACACAAATTCCAGCCTTGTCTTTTGGGGTTTGTGACAAATGTAGGTGGAAACAGTGACAGCCGTGGTTAGGAAAGGGACGGCCTGTGTGGTGGCAAGGTCTCTACCTTTTTAAGTGAGGGTGGCACGATATTGACTCCGCGTGGTCTGCGCGTGTGCGGTTCCTAGAGAAACACCACCGCCGTGTGCCGAGGCTTGGAGGACACGTGTCCCCCGCGGAAGCCAGTGGGGGGACTCTCTCAGAGGCTTTCTGCAGTCGGGGCTTAGACAAGTCTGATTCTCACGCAGCCACCACCCACGCCAGCACCTGCCTTCGGAGAGCCCAGCCAGGACGGAAATGGTAGGTCCCAGCGGTGACAGAAGTAACAATTTGGTGAATCAGAAAATGCCAGACCATTGTTTGTCACTCTGCGAGAAGTTTCTCAGAAACACTTCCAGAAAAGGCCCGAGAAAACGACGCGCATGGGTGAACGTTTTGAATCTGTCACTGTGTCACCCACCTTACGTGGCATTGTAAATGGCCTCTGAGCTTGTGATAAATCCAGCTGATCTGCGGCTGTGTCCAAATGAGAAATGAAGTGTGGGGCGCGGCCGGGGAGGAGCCAGACGCTGGTGTTGGTGGAAGGCTCTGGGGCAGGCTCTGGGGCACCCCGAGCAGCGGCTGGCTGGGTTCTGTGTGCTGCGTGGCCCCTCGGGGATTGCGGGGATTGCGCCTGAGCCCCGACAGGCTGCCCGAGGCCTGCCACATCCCTCGGTGCTCACAGCCCTCAGGCTGGGAAACATTCGCCTACTGTCGTTTCCTTCCCGTTCTTTACATATGTTTTTTGTGAAGGGACCGAGCAGGAGGAATTCACTATGAATAATTCATGTGTAATTGTTTTCAAAATATAAAGTTATTTTTCAAAGCAAGCAGCCCATCTATTCGCTGCAG